ACACACATCTGCAACGAGTCATCTTTCTTCTTCACAAATAAGATGGGTGCTCTAGCTGACGATTTTGAATGACGAATGAAGTTCTTGGCTAGATTCTCATCGATGTACTTCCGCAACTCCGCTAACTTTGTCTGCGATAGATTGTAGATTGGGCCAAAAGGCGGTTGTGCTCCTTCCTGCAAGTCTATGGCGTAATCATATGGTTGGTGTTCCGGTGTCGTGTTGTAACATGATTATACAGTGAAAATAAAAAGAAAGGGGAATTTTATTAATATTCAGTTACCTCGAATATTGGGAGCATCGACCAATTCCAGTACAAATATTGAGTGGTCAGGTTCAGTCACTCCGTTACAGTCAGCCGGGGCATACTGAAATGCTCCATTCGATTCCAATAACGGGAGTCAGCAGAAAGAGAAGGACCAATTCACAAGACGGGTTCGAGGAGCCAATTGGATCCAATTTCGATAATCCAATCCGGGTCCTCTTATCCAATATGAGACCTAAATTGGCCGGTCAACCCAATGCAATCTAATTACGGGGAATCCAGGTCTTACTACGGGTCTTAGCCAATCTGACGCGAGGACCAATTTGACCCAATTACGGGAACATCTAGGTTACTACGGGCATCTTTTCCAATATAGGACCTGAATTGGTCGGGCGACTCAATGTGGTCCCGATTACGGGGTTCGATTCTGTTTTACGTCTTGTTCTCTGTGCCGTTTCAAGGAACGTTGTTTGCGGTAAATGGATTTTTTAAAGGTAAAAAACGGAGGACAAAGCTTGGCGGCGAGAGCCAATTTCGGATCCAAGGTTGAGGTGGGAGCCAATTCCGGATCTAAGACGGAAGATTGAAGAAATTCAGAGGATAAGGTTAGAGGGGATATAGTTTTAGGGGGAGGGGGGTTTTCTCTTCTTCTTCGAGGAATCGGGAGGGAGCTAGTTTTTCAAGTTTTTGCAAGGTTACCAGTTCGGGTTTTTTCATGGGAGGTTTTTGAAGATCAAGGGAATTAGAGAGAGGAGCTTCATGCTTCGGGTCGGGGAAGGAAAGACATAGAATGGGATTTTTCTTCTTCGTAGAGTTTTGGAAAGACTGAGGCAATCGCTGCTGAAGTCAGTATTGTAATGGTGAATCGAGATTTTTAAATGAAGTGGGTTTGAATACTCTTGACTGTTTTGTAAAATCGAGTTACGTCTGTGATTGAAGGATTAAAAGGGTGTCTATAGGATTGAGTATGCGGAGTGAATGAAATTTATTGGGTTAATCTAACAAGACAGTCAGTGGATACAAGATCGTAAGTACAAAGCGGTATTGAAGATTAACAGTTTGGGTTGTACGGGGTTCTCTGTAACGTCTAGAGACCTACCGGCTCGGGCAGAAAGGGACTTCGACAAGCAGTCGAAGAGCACCCGTATAGATTTGCTGTACATTGTTGCAGTCGTTTATATTCCAGCAGTCAAAAACTGATAGACTGCTTGACTATCGGCGAATCTCCATACTACCTTCTACAGCCAGACGCCCGGCGCGTTCTCGAGCAGGAAAGCACGTAATACGACACCGGTAGCATGTCGACATTCTTCTTTTGAAACACATCTTTAAAATCCTTATATTGCTCAGGTATACTTGTTGTCGAGATCTTCTCCCCGGTAGTTGAAGCTACATAAATGACAAATGGTGTGCCTTCCTTGGATGATCTTATATACGCTCTTGCTCCACTGAATAAGAATTTCTGTATTCGGGGTTTTCTACTAGGCTTACTCTTGGGTGGTTTTGTGGAAAAGGTCATCTTCCGCAACCTCCAATCTATGGATGGGTTATGCTTTTTCAACCAGGAAAGACCAAAAATAATAAGATTTGATGGGATTCTAATAATATTGAAGATAATATGACTACTATGGCCCTTAAACGTCACTTCTATAGGTTTTGATTCATGTGTGACACTACTAGACAATAAAGGTCGCCCATCTATGACCTCAACGTGAACAGGTTTGGATTTTTGTACTAAAGGGATTTTATGATGCTTCACAAATTCTTTGTCTAAGAAACAAGCAGATGCTCCTGAATCTAATAATGCTAAGGTTCTGAGTTTCCGAGGGCTAATAAACAAAGGGATTGTAAAGCAAAGGGCAGGTTGAGCGGAAAGAAAGGAACTTGATTGTTGTTACGATATTTCATTGTCCAACCGCACGGTTCGTATTGTGGCTGGGCATCCTCGTTTTCTTGAACAAACGTGCCCCTAGTCCTGACAAGACGTCGATTTTGCTTCTTGGAGCAGTTTCCAACTTTGTGGCCTTCTTCACCGCAATACAAGCATAGACCTTCTTCCATACGCCGCTTTTTTTCTTTTTGGGTAAGAAATTTGACACGTATTGCATCAATTTGCATGTCTTCTACCTCTGAATGTGTATTCACGCTACTTGTCGGCATAGTTGGGGTATGACAAATCATATGTTGTTTTGAACATTGATCTTGGCAGCTTTGGAATAAGCAATTATCGCACTTCACAGCTTGGCTAATAATTTCGTTGAGTATTTGTGGATCAGGAAGAGTTAACAGCAAATCCTTCACATCATCCCTTAAACTCCAATAGAATTGACTCATCAACGCTTCTTCGTCCCAATTGATGTCGCATGCTAATTGCTTGAAGTCCGACGCATAGACTGATGTAGAATGTATCCCTTCTCGTAGTGACCGGATCTTTGTTGTACTCCATCGAACCTTATCGTGTTTACCAAATGCTTCCGCAAACGCCTCCAAAAAGGTTTCAAAGTTGTTTAGTATGGACGATCGTTTCTCAAACAAAGGAGCAAACCATGATAGAGCTTGCCCTGTAAGTAAGATTTCAACAAGCCCAACACGTGACTCCTCCGTTGGATAGCATTCGGGCTGTAAAACTGTTATCGACCTGATTTGATTGACGAATCCTCGAAACTTGGAATGTGTACCATCGAACTTGTCCGGAAGGCTAACTCGGGGCTCCTTGTGTTATAGAACCAGTGGTGCTTGTCAAACCTGAGGCAAAGTTGCTTCTCCAAGTGCAGAAGTTTGAGGTTGGTGCAACCTAGATTGTGCCATTCCAAATGCTCCATCATTATGAAGCCTTGCCATGATTCCTTCAATCTTTGCAATTCTTTGCGATAATGTAGCGAGGGCATTTATGATAGCATCCAACTTAGACTCCAAACTTTCCATCGTATTAATGTCTTGGCCTTCGGCCATTGTAAGAAAAGGACAGAAATGACTCTACAAGAAGACAATATTGGTTTAGAGGAGGATACTCCACAACCTCTAAAATGCCTTAAGAGCTTCAAGAAAAGGGGTAATCCACTCTCTCCAAGAAAAATAAGACTCCAATATTGTAACAAAAGAAGTATCAGTTTAGAGGAGGGTAATCCGCAACCTCTAAAATACTAGTGCACTTCCAAGCAGAGGGGTAATCCGCACTCTAACGAGGAAGAAACTAACTCTAATATCTAAGGTGAATGAAGTCTTGACAAACTATCACGGACACAAAAATACAGACCCGAGATCTAACAAGAAGTTCAAGAAGAAGTGGCAAGAACTAGATTAATCAGATGAATACAAGAACAACACTAGAGAGGTGAGCTAGAGCTCCAAGAGATGTGTTGTCGAGACTGAAGAACTCTTCAGCCTCGATTCCAATATATACTCCTATTTAGGAAGCTTTTCAAGCAACTTCTACCAACTAAAAAGCTTCTAGAAGGTTCCAGAGACTTGCTTCTAGAAGATTCTAAAAACTTATCTCTTGAAGGTTCTAAGGACTATGTCCCTAACATCTTCTACCAACTTAGAAGCTTCTAGAAGATTCTAGAGACTTGCTTCTAAAAGGTTCTAGAAACTTGTCTCTAGAAGGTTCTAAGGACTATGTCTCTAATACTTATTATGTGGAATCTACTATGACAATCTTGAAATGTGTTTTTGTCAGCAAAACTCATTAAAAAGCATGGTCGATGCTTTACAAAGATGCTTGCAATCTTCAAAGACAAAATAGAATTTTCGAACAACTGATTTGAAATTTTTTTCTCTTGCCATAAGTTCAAAGTGATCAGCATGCATGGAAAGGCAAGTTCAACTAATCAAGCTGGTATTGATGTAATGATGCCTTATGCAACATATACAACATGGATAAAACATGACTACTTTATAGTATAGTATAGTACTAGACCAAACTATTGTTCAACAACAAATCGCAAGATACAAGAAAGAAATCTCATAAATCGCCATTGCATTCAAAGACAATGTTGATGGAGTTCGTAAATTGCCATAATTTTTATTGGCCATGCCCATAAGCTCTAGTACTTCAATTATTGCACATGCAAACAATTGGATCTTTATTATCCATCCAACAAGAAAATGTAGATGATTGGGATTATTTTTCCATGAATGGCTCAAAAATCTTGACAAAGAGATAGGAAAGATACATTGGTAGATCTTACTCCTTATAGATAATGTACCATTGCACATTATAAACAACCAAATTTCTCCCAATGTGGATATCTATGTACTTCCTCTAAATGCAACTTTGAAGATTCAACCAATGGATGTTGAAATCATTGTGGCATTCAAGTGATACTACCAATGCTTTCATTTGTAGAATGGACTTCATTGAGATGAGCAAAAATGAGATCAACTTATACAAGATCAATCAATTGATGGCAATATGATAGTCATTTGTAACTTGGGCAAAAATATCTCCAACAACAATACAAAATTATTTTTGATATACTTCATTATTTGAATAGGTACTTGAAGTTGCAAAAATCAATAGTGAAGAAATAGTCAAAGAGGAGCTAGTCTACATAATTCAAGGTCTTCTATTATAAAATCTAATGTCAATCAAAGAAAACGATACACATATCAAGCTAGATAATCACAAAATTGTTGAACTTGCTTGTCATCAACAGAGGCGAAGGTGCTAACAACACCTTAGAGAAAGACTATGCTCAAGCATTGGTCATGCACATGGAGAAGTTCTGGAGCCTTTTCGTGGGAATGTGGGTGAATGCTCTACCCACAAAACATCAATTGCAAGAAAGCAAGATACCAATGTAAAAGTTAAAAGAAAATAAACAAGATCTCAGACCTTCAAATTATTTCTGAGAAATCATCGCAGGAAGTCAGATTCGCCTAGTTCCTAGCACGCAAACCATCTAATGAATGTGAAATATGCTACATTCATATGCATCCTCTCAGCCAGATTTTAGTTCCGCATCTACAATTCTACTGTCGGCTAATTAGGAGGATCAGTACTGACTAAATATTGATGCATAATGTGGAGTAGGTTCGTTTTGCTACCCATAGAGCTTTCTGCAAAATACATAAGAATGTATTGAGACTAGCCATACCAGTATGTTAGACACAAGAACGGAACTACTAAAAACTAACAGAACTTCCATGTTAAAATGAGTTTGAAAGATTGAAAAAACTATGAAAAACAATTTCCTTGAGCACATACAAATTCATGTGATTTTCCGCAGTGGTAGCAAGAGAACAGAACTGACTTCTTTGCTCGGGCATTTTAGCCAGTTAGGCTTTTAATAGCGGCTGCCAAAACTGCTCCTATTGTGATGTTGGCAACGTTCGCAATGTCGTTAGTAATCTGCACGTTCCGAGGTACGTTTGCGTCAACTACCAATTTTTGGGACGTTCAAGCGTACAAAGACTATGTTATCACACCCTGGATTAATATTATAGGACCATTGCTAGGCTGAACAAAAACCACCGTTAGACCTCTATTACATGGAATAATATTAGCAACATATATTGCAGGGTACCTGTTCACCAAAAAACGTAACTAGTGTGTATTGTCAGTGTAAACGGAACCTACTCTCGTCATAAATGCAGAGAAGTTTGAGAGCACCTACCCATTTGAAGCCTTCACGCCCTTGCAAGGCAGCACCAATGTAACTTTCGCAAAAATTTGCCACTTGTGCAGCCAACACACAAATGACAGCACCAAATTGATCCGTCTGCGAGGTTCAGCTTTTGAGAGATCCGTAATAAAGACTCAGGGAGAGAAAGGCAGAAGGACATAACCACAAATCATGAACTTCAGATACCAATGGTGAAAGAGATCACGTTGAAGAAAAAATGCCAGTAAAGAACATAACCAGAGAATACTACATCAGTGCTAAGGAAAAGAGATGCGCAAAATCACACCAATGCCGAATGGCCGGATTGATCTCGCAGGCAATGGAGTGAGAGGAAACTAGTTCGGCAGTTCGTTGTGTTTAAGAGGGAAATACCAGATTGATAGAGTACGCAACCGCTGCTAATATAACTGAGGCTATCAAGCCAGCAATTGTCCCTTCTAAGCTGATTGCTCCTTCCGTTCCCCTTGGAACAACAGAAAAGGTCGTCACCAGATACCTATTCACCAAAACCAAAACATATCATTCCCGTAGTCCACATGTGGCTTGGTCAAGACCCATACGTAATAAAAATCGTGAAGGAATCACAAAGTGTTAAGGTCGTTCGCCTGCCAAGACGAGCTCACGTGGTTTTTCCGTAAGCCTTGCCGATCTCGCTGGAGATGGTGTCACTAAGCTTTGTGCAAAAACTGGCCAGGAAACCCAAGCGCCATAATACATTCGCGTCAACACGTCCCACTGCAGCTATGGTGGCGGCAGCACATACTGCACCAGCGGTCCAGGACCCAAATACACTTCCTGGGCCCCTCCTTCCACTCTTCTTCTCGGCAATCCCAGCAGCTTCTTTCTGTTTGATCTTTACTTTCGTAGCAATTGTTCCCTGCAGTTGACCCCTCCTCTACGTTACTAGTTGATCTTGAAGAAGCACAAGGAAGCAATCACACTCCTGTTTAATTGACTCGAGCTCGTCTACATCCACAAAACCTTCATACGAATCTGTCTAACAATTCAGAAGTTGGATTCGAAGAACGGTACATACAAGAACGAAGTATAAAGAAACAATTAAAGTCCCTCGCCATCCGAAAGCTCGCCAGGTCAGGAGTCCCAAAGCGTATGCACAAGCATATCCTGATAACGAGAGGCCTGCCAACAATACTGGGGCACCGGCTAGGAAGATTGTGGTTGTGGCTATGGTTGCAGATTCCCAGCTTGGTGGTGACGATGTTAAAGCCAACTTCACAGTATTCACGATACCTGCCACCGCAAAGACAAACAACTCATACAATTCGTCCGAATCCAACTGCCAACGTATACACCCCTGAATTTGAACCTTAATTTATACTTCCATACGATAGTCTCGATACAAATCTGATGTCCCAGTACTGAACCATCAAACGCAATACAAAACGTTGAATGCAATATAACTAGGTTTAAGCCTAGCTCCATTTGCATACAAAGGCTAAGGTAATTGATATTTCCAGTCTAACAAGTATTCAGAGAAAATATTCGAAATAACATGAATTAATTCACTACACACAACACGAATTTCACTGTTAACACCCACTAGTACTAAGACAGCGCAACGCCCGTGCGATTAGCACCAGATTTTTTCACTTGAGAAACACAGCAATTCAGGTGGGGGTTGAAATCTGCTCACCAGCCACAGATTGGGGAGATCCGAGCTCGGCATTCACAACCCCCGATGAACCCAATTTCTTCTCCCTGGCGTGGACGCGACTGATGAGACGACCACCTCGAAGACCAACCCCACATCCGATCAATTTCAAAGCGTTAGGATTCTCCGCGGCAAAAGAACCTGTTCGGAACCTACATTGCGTTCCTGTTCGGGGAAGAGAAGTCTGCGGGGACCCAGCTTGCGACCACGGAGGCGACCTCAACGAGGAGACCTGCATGCACGTCATGGCGCGAAGGTGGGTCTGCGAGAAAGGCTCTGTGCAAAAGAACGGATGCTGCCACAAAAAAATGCTCACAAAATCGACCCAGAAATCAATCACGGGCTCCGTAATATTCTCTGCCAACGCGGGGTCTAGCGCTGCGATGAAACCCAAATCGAGAGGGTATCTATCCGCTTGGCCTCGCCACCGAACGGAACGAATTGAGATCCGGGACGAGACTCGCAATGGATACGACACCGCAACATGAAGGTTTATATCCGATTTTTTTAGAGTTTACATAATTAACCTTTGTACAAGATGCATGATTATATATAATTCTTGTAAAACCATCAATTCTTGTAACCAACTTAGATTTGTATAGTGAAAAAGTCTTTGTTGAAATAATATTCAAAATTATCATCCTTTTAAACCATTCTTTTGCCAATAGCATGAAATTCTTTTTATCTCAATAATAACTTTACAAAAAAAAAAAAAAAAAATCAAAAAAAAAATCAAAATCAAATAAAATCAAATAAAATTTTATCATTGAAATAATATATATATATAGAGAGAGAGAGAGAGAGAGAGAGAGAAGCATACACAAAATATATACATATATTTATAATAGTGGAGTGGTTGCATTCTATTTAAAGATTTAGTATTTGAAGAATTTCTCAAATTTTTATTTTTTATACATTAAAAAAATTAAAATATCTTAAAATTAGATTATAAAAGTAATATATTTTAAGATTATCAAATCCCTCTTAAATACATAAAAATGTGCAAATAGATAGTAATACACACTTTTGCATGTAGTTTGTTGTGTGCTATATAAAAAATATACTATCTATTTATTAATTTGTACATTAAATTATCTTTGCTCAAAAAATATACTATCTATTTATAATGATTTTCTAAGATTTTTGTCTTTGATTTAAATGAAGGTTGTTCTAATTCAATTTATATAAGAAGAAACATCTTTAGAAAGTTGTTATGTAGCTCTTTAATTAGGTAGTATATATGGAGGTAAGAATGAGGCCTACCTTAATCTTGTCAATATCTTTCATGTTTCTAACCTAGTTTCAAGAATCTTTAGCCTTCTTATCTTTGTCAATAGACATTTTAGTTTCTTATAGAATGCACATATTTCTATATATATATCACAAGTGCACTAAAAGTTGTAGTTTATCTACTTTTAAATTAATATTTTTTATTTTTATTTTTATTTTTTTTTATTCTTGATTCTTTTACCACCACTTTTTTTAAGTAAAATTAGATATATTCTTTTTTGATTGTGATATCATATTAAAGGTTGTTGAAAGTAAAAATATGATAGTACAAATACAACAACAAATAAGATAGCTAATCTTTGCAATAAATTAATTCAATTTATTACTGGTCAAGGATAAAAATTCAAAGAATGTAAATAAATAGGTGATTTTTTTTCAAGAAATTTAAAAATATATATATAAAGAAACTAGAATGATTATTGCCAAAAGATAAAAAAAATTAAAGACTCTTGAAATTAAACTAAAAAATAAGAAAAAAATCAATAAGAATGAAAATGACTTTATTCTTGCCTCTATATATACTATCTAACTACAAGAAATATTGTGACATTCTATAAGACTTTCAATATGTGTCCAACCTATAGAACACATATCTAATTTACAAGACAAGCTTCTTATATGTGTGCCATATGTGCAAATGTTTTTTACAAGTAGCCAACATTTTCAATATTTGGCCAACTTTTTGGCAAAGTTTTTAACCTGTTAATTACTTGTAAATATATAAAAGAAAATTTGGATCTATAAAGCTTCTTTATAAGATAATGTAAAATTTATCTAATTTACTTACTTCTATCTATTCATATATTTAGGTAATTATTAAGATAAATATGTATGGTAGTGATATTATCTTTCCTTCTAAGATCGAACTCTACAAAGAATAGTGATCACATGTTGAAAAAATCCAATATCTAACAAATTATATTTATGACATATTCTAATCTTTATTTCTTTCAAAGATAGTCTATAGGTCTTCATAGCTATTGGCAATGTTTCATACTAGAACAAAAAGACCACCCTAATATTTGATTATTATTGATGTGTTCATAACTACCTCCAAACAAAACACTTAGAACACTATCAAAAATGGTTCATACTTCCAATAGTATCACCAAATATTGAAAGTAGCGTCCAAGGTTGTGATATCAAATTTATTATATTGTGTCATCTATTTGAAGAAAAATATGTCATTCTTGAAAGTCTTCATCTCTAGTACATTGTCTTTAAGGTTGTGACAATTACAATATTTTATCAGATAATTCAATAAATAATAGCTCTTAAGTTAAATATATTAGTTTATGATTTTCTATCTTTTTAGTATTATAAATATAAAAAAATCAAAATCAAAGATAGATGATAGAATGAAAGTTTCATTAAATATTATTTCTTTTATAAAAAAGAATTATTTTATCTTTCATTTTGATTTTGATAGATGTTGGTGATAAAAAGCTTTAACCTTTTTTTCTACTTTTGCAAGATTTTTGAATGGTTCTTATGTGCATTCACTAATTTCATATTCCTGCCAATATACAAGATATTCCAACCTATTTTGATGCAAGCTTAAGTCTATGACTTCTTTAACTTTAAATTATTGATTATTATCTACTTCTATAAGAAGAAGTAGCATTTATCTTGTTCTTGATGTATACACTATCTTCTATGGCTCAAAAAGAGATACATGAAATATAGGAAAGACCTTCATTGACTTTGAGAAATATAATTGATGAATAAGTAGATTGATCTATTTACAAACAAAAAATGTTTTAGATCTACAATAATCCAACTTATTATAAAAGTAACTAGTCTTGATATTACAACAAAGTAATCATACCTTATTGCTAATATAAAATTGAGATTATTCTTTGTGATAGGCATCTGCATTGATCTTTTGTCATTCTTGAGCTTTCTTTAATTGTACCTTTATTATTATATATACTTTTAATAAATAATTTGTCAAAACTTCTATTGTAGGATTATTAATTTTTGAAAAGTCAAAGTATCAAGTTATGAATAATAACCATAATTAAAAAATATATATATTGGATAGAAGAATATATTCTTATATTTTTAAAAAAAATTGCTAATATCAAAAAAATTATTCAATTATTGTGATGGTAATTAATGACATATTTTAGATATTACTTCAAAATTTAATTCATTCATTTTATTTGTCTATTAATTTGAGGATGAAAAGCCAAAGATAATTTTATATCTACCTTCAATATCTTAAAAAGAATTCTCTAAAATCTTAATACAAATTAGATTCTTCTATGAAATATAATATCTCATAATAATCTATGATAGAAATAAATATTGTAAAAAAAATTTAGTTGTTTCTTTATTTGTGATAGATTTTGTACAAGTTATAAAATGTATCATCTTTGTGAAACAATCTACTATTAAAGGTACAATTAAAGAAACAAATATAGAATCATATGAACTTGAGATTATAAGTTTGTAATAATATCTATAGATACTAAAGACTATAATTTTTTTGGTATAAATAGTGGTGGTATAAATACAAATTATTGATCAAATTTTCATATAGTTGAAAAATTAATCAATATCAATGATAATGTGATTTTGATCTTGAATAAATATCATATGATTGTACAAAGCTTTTAACTGTTATTTTATATTTAAGGCCACCAAAAATCTATTGATATTGATTCCAAGATCTTATTGAATTCAAAATCTCATATAATTAAAAAGTTATGATAAGATTGAAAAACACATAATCAGGCTTCATTTTTAAAAATAAATAGGTGTTCCTCAAAATAAAAAATATTGATTTTAAATTCAAACTTGAAAGCATTATGAGATTTAAAAGAATTACTCTTAATAATGCAAACTAAAAGATCATAGGACATATAACTAAACTTGCCTTAAAAAAATTAAATCAACAATTAATATTAATTTCATTACTCAAAGATGAAATTTTTCTAGCTTAAAGATAATTATTTATTATTGATCAAAAGTTACATCTCTTTCTTTTGGTACAAGATAAAAATGTCTAAAAAAGATATTTTGGCAAATTTTATTATTTTTTTGGCTAATATGTGATTTTAAATTCAAATCTTGATAAAGACATGCTTTGATAGACTTAGCGACAATTTAAAACATGCGTTGATCTGAAACACTCAAGGTTCTTATGATTTATTAAAACAACTACTGGACTTGTAGTACCTTCTAGATAATAGTGTCATTTTTGAAATAAATCCACAATTGCAAGAAGTTCTTTGTTATGGACTTTTTATTTGCAACTACTATTAAAAACACAAATTGGAAGAAGATACATAAACTTGTGGAATTTGTATCAAAAGGAAAGTGACAAAATAGAAGAAAGTATGTATATTGAAGAAAGAACTAAAATAGCTATTGCCAAAGACTAAAAAACATAAGACTCTTGAAACTAGACTAAAAACAAGAAAGGAATTGATAAGAGTGAGGCCTCACTCTTGCCTCCATATATACTACTTAACTAAGAACTATGTAGCCACATGCTATAAGAGCTCTAATATGCATCCAACTTGTAAGATACATGTCTAATTTGTAAGGCAAGTTTCCTAGGTGTGAACCATATGTCCAACTTGGACTACAAGTGGTCAACGTGTCAACATGTGGTCTCCTTGTTGGCCAAGTTTTCAACCTATCAATTACCTATAGACATATATAAAAGCAAAGTAACATCTATGAAGCTTCTAGAAAGCTTCTCACAAGATATTATCATATTTATCTACTTTGATTTATTTCTATCTATTCTTATTATGTAGATAATTATCAAGGTAAATATGTATGTCTGTGAAATTATCCCCCTTTTTAGGGATGAGTTCGACAAGGAGCAGTGATTATATATTGATAAAGTCCAAGATGCACTGAACTGTATTTGCTACATACTCTAATCTCTATTTTCTTTGAAGGTAGTTGATAGGTCCCTTCAACCATCAATAATGTCTCATAGTAGGGCTAGAAGACTATCCTAATATTTAATCATTATTGAGGCTTTCATAACTTTCTTCAAACAAAATATTAGTGATACCATTTAGAATGGTTCCTACCTCCAAAAGTATCACTAAACACCTAGAATCCCTTCTAAGGATGTGGTACCAAACACATTGTATCTTGCCATCTATTTGAGGAAAAACATGTCGTTTATGA